GATAAAAATAGCTTTTGCATTAATCTGTGTTGTGTGTGTGAGATTGGATAAAATCTTGTAGTAAAATATAAAATAAAGCATTATGCATTTTCTTACATTCATATGAAATATTCAATCATTAAAAAGAAAGAGAGAGAGATATGAGATTATTAGTCCATACATTCCCCAGTTTCCACAAGCAATTAATTAAATAAATTAACATATACCGAGAAATACTTGATGCAACAAGAACGTAGAGAGAACGTGGAATAGAGGAAAATCTGGCTCTCGGAAGCTTCGTTTATCATCCAACCATATTCGTCCGCTATTAATTAAACTAATTAAAATCGGGAAAATCCTACATGGCCGATGGCATCTTGTGCGTTTGTCGACATATTTTATTCTTGATAACATCTATTCTTAAATCGTTAAGCTGTTCAGTATATAAATGAGAAAAAGAAAGAGATATGTGTATATATATAAGAATTCATCGGATGAAAGTTTTATCTTCTTACATTTTTTTGTTTTTCGAGGTACACATATTTTGATTATGAAAAATCATATCGTAAATATAAATACTATATATATATATATATATATATTTTTTTTTATTTTCTTGGATTTTATGATTTTTGCGAGTAACGAATCATATGTAACACTATATGAGTAAAAAATCTAAAGCAACTAAATAAAAAAATATTATCCCGATAAATATTTGAAATGATATTATAAACAGAAATTTCCGCTTACGAGAATACTAAAGAATAATAAAGAATACTAGAAGAATAAAGAATATAAGAACTCTGCGAAAAATAAATGGCAGTTGTAATTTTTGCGAATCGGCGTTTCTTCACCAATTCTCAAAAGACGAAAAGCAAATTGAGGTCATAAAGATATATACATATAAATCTTGTATACCTACTTATTTCACTCTCAAAAGGAAGAAGGACGAAAGAGACTTCAAGTCAGTGTTTACACGGCCTGTTGTGCACGAGAACTTACTCGAGGTGCACTACCAAGCAGTTCTGATTCTTTAACGCTACGCGAAATTAAGAGGGTCAAGGCAACAAGACTAATTAAACTTGCAAAAATAACTGCAATATTTAACGTCCGCGATAATTGCATGATAGATAAGAGGAAACACATAGTGCTGGTCTTTGCACGACATTCACAGAAAAAAATTGCAACTTAAGAGAGAGAGAGAGAGTTTTCGTTATTGAAAAACAAAATACTTTAAATTCTCAAATAAATAGATATAGTATAATTAAATTCATTTTTGACAAATACAATTAATGCGAAAAAAATTACTTCGTATTTTTTTGTTAAATGCATACGAGCGTTGTGGAAAAAAATGTCTACGAAAGAAAAATTAAAAAGTTTATTCCTCATCACTGTGACATTTTCGAGAATCAATTGCGAATTTGCAGAGTGAGTTTCTTAACCAAAGCAAACATACTTATGCGACGATTGAATATGATATAAGATACGTGAGCGGTGTAGCTTAGCGAGTTTCTATTCATACTCGCAAATCTATTGATGACTCGTCGATTAGCTCTACGTATATATCGGGAAAACTATATATGCTTGATGATTGCGTATTATCCTTTTTCATCAAATGTGTATAGAAAATAGAATAATGGAATAAAAAACAAACATTCTCTTTATAATTGCATAATATCGTTTACAATATATGTTGATGTTGAGTAAACTTGATAGTAATAACTCAAACTTGATAAAACAAACTTGAAAGTTGTCTTATGTTTTCGGAGAACATATCAGTCTCGAAGACCCGACAACACGTTATCCGAAAATTTTGACATAAGCTACGCGTTAACGACACACACAGAGGGTGAAGACTGATTCATTGTTATTTATTTTGCTCTACATTTTTTATATCGATCGATGTTTGTATTAAAAATCAAGAGAAAAATACAAAAACAATTTAAAAAATCGGCATTTAGACAGAATTATATACTTTTATCAAAAATCGAGATGGCGTGTGAATTCCCTGTCGATACGAAACATTGACATTAAATCGGTCAAACAACCGACAGAAAAGAATTACGTTATCGAGCGAATTAAGACATTTACCAAGCCAGCTAATCTGTTAGTCTAATGATGTCGATTAATCTCGATTAAAAACCAATAGCGACATAAAATAACGATATTCAACTACGTATTAAGACAATTAGGAAATTGTATTGTGATTTTTCACAGAAAAAGCGGCGACGAATGTCGTCGTCAACCTTTACTTTTGAACATGACAGTCTTTACAGCTTAGAGGCCATCGTGTCTCTTCGCAAGCAATTTTGACTGCTGCGAATCGACCAACAAGCGAGGCCTGGTAACAGTATAGATGGCTCAGACAATAACTGTCGACAAGTATGAATGAACCGCGAATGAACGATGGTTGGTAAACAGTACAATCGTTCAAGGTTCCGCTCTTCAAGAGTGCTATTTAATTTGCTTGAAGTAACATTGATCTTTTTGCTCTCTCAATCGTCGCCGTAGAAATTTTTTTTTTTTTTTTTGAATACGTAATATGCTAACATGTACTCTGAACTTGCTTCATATCGCAAATAAAAAGAATTGCAATTCACAACGCTAAATAGCAGAAATGTGTCAATCATTTCTCACGCTCTTTTTTTAGTCGAGATTATAATATTTTAAATGATTAAATAATGTTCAAAACGTTTTCATGATAAAAAATAAATTATGTTAATTAGACGTATTAATTAATTTGTAGAAGATTTACTCTTTTAAAAATAATGCTCAACTGTTTCTTGACTTTATTATGCGTTAAGAGAAGATGTTGAGAAGAATGTCTGACAACTGCATACAAAGTAGCGCCCTCATTTAGAAGTAACTAAAAAAAAGTGACTATTATTATCGACACAAGTGACACTAACCATCGAACGTGCTTAGATAAACAAAGACAAACGTAAGCAAAAAGAAGTTACGCCAGAGATTTCTATGCTTATCAACATGCGCTCACGATGCGCATTTTTTTCTTTTCTTTTCTTATAAGACAACCAAACACTTATTCTCATTACATTCTTCATTCTTTATAATGCTTATTTGCACACAAACAAAATACTTCCAAATCAAATATTACCCATGGTATCTTTTTATGTTTTCTTTTTATCGTCACAATTCGATGAAACGTTTGTTTTCCGAAACTTTGATCGACATCTGGAACACTCGTTTTCATTTAGAGATAAAAGAGAGAAAAAATATACGTTTATCTTGTAATACATCTGTCTTACGCTCCTAATTTACAAAATGACGTAACTTTTGTTATTTTGAAATACTGATAAAAATCGTACTAATATCACGTGGTTGATAATATAATTAACGTTATAAAATTGATACAAACGTTTGCTAAAAAATTGATAAGTAAAATGAATGTTTTTTTTGATAAAAATGCAAAATATCTTTCGCGGCATTTAGATAACAAAATGCAACAAACTCTTTCACGCGTCGGGTCTAAGTCAGCTTATACAAGAGCGTACAATGATAACGTAGTCTTGATAAGCTTGATGCTTGCAACGTAAGACAGTTGAAACGGGCGCTTGAAACTCACGTTACACGCAGAGGTGTGTTATGTAACGAGGAAAAAATAAATTTGCAAAGTTGCACTTCGAATCTTGTCAAAGACAAAACGAGAATAGGTCGTCGACTTATTTGTCAAGGTAAATGTGAAAAAAGTAACGTTCTGCAAAATATTAAAAATAACACGAAATAAAAATACCAAAAATAAATTTCGAATCGTTTTCAAATATTAAAAATGCAGTGTCAATATGTATATTTAATTCGAGGCTAAAAAAATTATTACAATCTTTAAATTATTCGAAAAGATTCTGCTTAAAAAAAAACCACTTCACAAAAAAGTTTTTGAGTAAGATAAAAAAATTTGAAGCGTTATAAACAGTTCTAACAGGACAGGAGCAGCCTCTATTAAAGTGCAAAAACAGGCAGAAAAATAGATGAAATTTGTAGAGATAATGTAAGTAAATATTGGTTGGTGCAATTGTGCCTCTTGCAACTATTCTCGGCATACAAGGCATACAATATGTTTTATATTTATTAGATCGATTTCACGAAAGATCGATAGATGAAAGAAAACGAGTGAAACGCGCTACAGACGATCATACATGAACATTGTAATCGAAATTTTCAACATATACGACGGCGGCGGCGGGAATGATGTCGCAAAAATACAAGAGAAGTTCAAAATTTGCAAATCAAAAACGCTTCAAAGCTACAATTTGCAAATATATTTCGTCGAATGTATGTTGCGAATAGCGATGACTGACATAAATTACAGATAAGTATGCAAGTTGTCTGCCATAGCGGCTTGTAACTTGTAAAAAAAATATTGAAGTTGTACGAAAAACCGGCGATACAAGTAATAAATGTCAGAGAAGTGATTATCTCTCAATAGCAACAAGAATGCATATTTTAAACTTTTTTGTAAGTTTCATTGAAGTAATTTTAATTAAAATATATGTATATTTTATGTGTCTTAATTAAGATATTATATATCTATTATGTATGTGTGTTTCTTATGAATCTTAATTAAGATATATATATATTTTTTATCTATATTTTGTGCAAAACTTTCAACAAATTTATTTTAATATATTGACAAAGAACGTTCTAAATTACTTTCAAACGGCAATGAGTATTAGTAATTAGGTTTTAGACGAAATTCTAGGATCAAAAAAGAGACCGCTCTCTATCTCGCACCCTTTCACTTTTATAATCATTCACGTTCTTCACAAAAAAAAATGTGAATCCGCAGCTAACGAACAGTTTTTGGAAGATAAAATCGTTCCAAGAGTAAACAATGTTTTCGCTCGCTAATAATTTTGCATCGGCGATTTGCCGCTGCCATAAGGCTATCAAATCTAAGAGCGCGCGACTAGACTCGAGAGAGGCAATTCCCCGCGTAAATGCATATCCGTTCACCTTGATACACCCCCGCCGACCTTATCTAATAACAAGACAACAAGCCTGACCTTGGTACCGGTAGATCCATAATGGTCGAACGATGTTGATGCTGGTGATAATGCTGATAATGCTGATGCTGCTGCTGATGCGAATGATCATTCGTGTTAATGACCGACACCGGGTGAATAGTCTGTTGTTGCGGATGCTGCGAGGACATACTACTCAAATACGCTTGCTGCTGCTGTTGTTGCCACATCTTGTACACTTGAGACGTATATGTTTATCGATAAATAAATATATATTTTCTTCTCTTTTTTGAGGAAAATTTCCTTTATTCGTCCAGTCGACCAAGCGTTCATTCGTTGTCGTTGGCCATTTCACATCGCGAAAACGCACACGAGAGCTTTTCACTCCGCTTTCAATCAATATTACCCGCGCAAGTTTTGCGACACAACTGTCAATATAACGTTAATGCGACATATCTGTGTTTATCTTCCAGTCAACAGTCACTCAGCTGTACCGGTAAACACTGGAAGTGCAGCTCGCAGCAGGTGTTTCCGGCGTCGCTCGCCGACGCTCGCCATATTGGAGAACAAGTAGCGTCGTCGTCGTCGTCGTCGTCGGCCAAAACGGCGTGCTATCGCGAAAAACAACAGCGACTTGTTTACCGGCCGAAGTAAAATTAGTCGGTTTAACGACGCAATTGTAATCTTAATCTCGCAATTTTAATAAAACCGTTCGTATGCGCGATAAGGTTCTCGGTCTCTTTATATATTGCGAGGTTTTTTTTTGTGTCTAATCGATCGTTCATCAGACGTCAAAATGTGTTCTGTCACATTCCCTCGGAAACTTATTCTATCGTCTTGATATATATACACACATATATATAATTTTTATACTGGATATCATCGATCGTGCGGAGTCTCTTTTCTCCCGACATAAACGCTATATTCCCACCGGATTTTACACGCAAGTTCGATAAAACTTTCCAAGTTTCAAGTTGGAACGCTTCGGGATACGATCGATTCATTGATGATCACAATTCTCGACGTTCGTGCTATCTGCTACGATCTGTTGCTTTTTTTTTTACGATTCACAAATTATTCGCCGCAAGTTGACACTGGCCTTGACACGGAGTTTCAGATTAGCGCAAAATCTCAGTGGCAATACGACGAATGACCGGATTCCACGAACTCCCTTTCCGCATTTCTTCTTTTGCATCTTGCGCGCTTAGAAAAATGTCCAAAAAACTAAAAAAAAAACAGAAAAACAAAAAACGGCTTCGCTAAAGTTTGCCTTTGCGACTTCAAGAGTACGTTCGAGCTCTTATCAGTTCGCGCCGGATATACTACTGGTAATCTGTTGATTACGATAATCACCAATTAATCGCTTCTGTTTCGCCGCGATCTATACAATGCGCGCCCACCCAGCTTTGTCAATATCGAAGATCTTTAAACGACAGAGAGATCTTTACGGCATCACTGTTTTCGCACTCTGCTCGTCGACGTCATCTTTTGCCGGTCGCACGCGCAGAAAGCGAGGTGAGAGAACCATGCGTTTTTCGCGCAGAAAACTGCGTCGCGACGACACAGTAACCGTTGCGAGAGTGTTCGTGAAACTGTCAACCGGCAAATGACGCGGCTCTACCTCGAGGACACGGAGGGAAATACGGAGAAAACGGGAGAAGGGACCGAAAGGCGAAGCGCGTTACGAGAAAGTAGAACAGAGAGAGGAATACCGCCGAGACGCAACTCACGACAGTCGGATGCGAACTGCTGGTCGGGTGCTATTCCCCCACTCTCACCGACCAATCAGCGCTTCCCCTCTTGCCAAGACGACCAATCGTCGTCCTCCCCTCTTTGCCTGCTTCCATCGTGTCGTCTACCATACCAGGAGCGCCTGGCGTGATAACAACACATTTATGTATTAAGCTGTACTCACACCGACTGGCTCGCGATAAAGGAATAAACAAGTATATTCAAAATCGGTGTTTTTCGGAGCTCGAATAATAATACTTTCAAAACCGAGTCTTACAAGACTCTTCTCCGATGTTTCCGGAGCACTTTAAGTAGTAAGGATAAAACGGGACTTGAAGATGAAGCTAATAATATACGTCTACTGATATGATATTCAGTCATCGTTCATTTGATAACCGCGTAAAAGTACGGCAACACCTATAAACCAAAAAGTCCTGTCTTTCTTTCGGAATAAGTCAAAGTCCGTAAATGACCGTAAAGACCTTTTTTTTTATAATTTAACAAAAAAGTACACATCTATATAAAACTAACAATTCTATTTTTACTGATTCGTTCCGTACAAAAGACTAGTTTATTCTTAGTACAAAAGTTGTTTACAACATCTAAACTTCGATTTCACAGAGGATGAGCCATTGCGGGCTTTTTTCGTGACTGTCACAATATATATGTATATATAAAAGACACGAATATAAAAAATATTAAACAGATAAGCATGATAAAATCACAACAGATAAAATGATTTTTGCTCCAAAAAGCACACCAAGGATAAACGATTTATTTAATATTCTTGCAAATGTTTTGAAAAGAAAAAAATATAGAATATATAATTAACTGTAATTTGTATATCTCTCTTTACACGAGAAATATTGTTGATATGCGCGCAATTTCTTTTTTTCTTATTACTCAAAATCGATATTCAATTATTCCTCGTGCTGTGAAGTATTATATTACAAGATATAGGTCAAAGAATGTACAAGTAAGATATCAAGCTAACTTTCTCCTTCAAAGTAGTTTTCTATATCAAAGATATAGCCTGCAAGGTTGACGTATCGTACAAATGTTATATGCGACTGTGATGAAATGAGTGTCGCAAAAATGTCGCTGCATTGCCCCGTCATTTGTTTACCGCACGTGTACTCAATTTTAATTCGTATGAATCTAGCGTACTAAAAAAAATATAGTTACACTATGTTACTGACGTAAATTTCGAATTTAATTACACGAGTGCAGGTGGAATCATTTTTTTTTTCTGTCAAATCTTGCATGTGACGCTGTTTTTCATGTTCTTTTATTCATGAGAATAAAAATTTCATAAAATAACTGCAAAAAATCGTTCTTATTTCGTAATGGTTTTTGTTGCACGAATTCGGGAATAACATTAAACTGATAAAACATGAAATCCATACCGGAAGAGCAAATTTATTCATCGATTCCGCCTAAAGCTGTTTTCTAGCAAACACAGAGCCATGTACGCAAGCTTTGACACGACAGGCATTGTTTAACAACTGAGAGAAGCAAAATCCTTTTGTTTCAACTATGTCATAAACCTATAACATCGATATGAACTGGTAATACTCGGATTAAATAAAGGCGCGATGCATTTACGGGTGATTAATAAAACCGAATACATCAAACAGTGCTGGAGATTGTATACCATATATAAAATATTCGTAAAAAGGAATAATTAAAATCGTGATAAACTGACGACGCGCTTTGTAATATATTAAATTTTATCATATGAAAACATTAATTTTATATTTTTCCTTCCTCCAAATGTTGTGTGTGTAGTGAGATGATTTATGCGCGCAACACCGTGCGTTACTTTATACATATTTACTTATTTTTTAAATGCAAATTATAGCAAGGACATTAGATTATGTAACTTATTTATCGCGCAATAAATGTCACTCTTAACAAAGTTTACTCGGTTATAGCTAGTCACTTAGTCAGTCGTTTAGTCAATTGTAGTTACCTATTTAGTCAATTATGTGTGCTCAATTACAGTAATTTTATCAAATCTTTTCTTGTAAATATTTTTAATGTAAATGTAACGCGGTCGATATTATTTCGATGAGAGCAATCTTTCGTAATAACACAATAAGCAATTGTACACTTAATCTTTTGCAAAGATAAAAGCAAAATTGAAAAATAAAAGTATTACCGACATCATCTCGACAAGAAAAAGAAAATTATTTAGCACGATCTTGACTCACCCACATACGACGGTAGTTTCAGGCGCTGAAATTCCCGAAGAGGATGTGCCCGAAGACGTGCCAGATTCATCCTCATCCACGTCATTCTTCATCTTTCCTGCACACATACACAGAGACGATACTTCGTTAATTTAAAAGTAGTATACTTTGTCGATATATAAGATCGTAAAAAGTACACGAAACATAATCAATTTCTGTATGTAATTACATTTCACACAGAGATTGAGTTATTAGAAGTAATTTATTCTATTGTAAATCTAATCTTCTCTCATACCATAAGAAGTTATATATTTTTTATAAAGGTACTTTATACTCTAATAATATAAACTTATTCAAAATGAAGAAATATTCCACAGTGTTATTGCACATGTTGCAAAATATTGTATATATATGTATAATATATACATATATATATCAACACACATTTATTTTATTTCCATCTTTGAGTAATAATTCTATTCTGCACAAGATCGTAAATTTGTTCCGACATATGTAACTGTTTTAACACGAGTTCTGAAATTCATTTTACTACAGTGATATGTAACATGCACACACACGCACGAGTAGGTGTGCGCAGACTGAAAATTCGCCAAGATTCGAGCTAAAACTTTCACCTTGAATATAATCTCACGACTTAGCGTGAACTTTATAGATTCGCGGCTATTACGTGACGTGCAGAATTTATTGTCGATCGCGCTTCGTTGGCCAAAACGCTTGCGAACGGTATATGCGAGAGAGCGCGAATTGAATTTGCAGTTTGTTTGTAGTCTGCGAAAATGTCCGAAGTCAAATTGACCGATATTTGGCAAAATCAGGACGAATTCAAATCGCGAATAAGCTCTACATATATGTACATATATATAAATGTAGAATAAAGACTGTGCGTTTTGTTCACGACTAACAGCGCTAATTCGTTATTATCGCGCAATGTTGTCCGGAATCAAGGATGATTCTCTTTGTTCATGACCACGTTCTGTTACATACATCGCGTGACTGCGAGTTGTCACGTATATGCGACTATAGGCATATAATCATATATTCAGACATCGCTGATGCTGCAATCGATTTTTCAAAACAACCACAAACGATTTAATTGAATAAAATCCGCACAAAAGAAATTTTGTTTCGAATCTTACAGTTGGATGTGCTAGTTACTTGAACAAAAAGTGTAAATTTGATAAAAAATGTCAAATCACAGAAATATTAAAGCAAACTTTTCCGAAGACACACATTTAAATGCCTAATCCAAGAAAATTCTCGCAATTCTCTCATCGTCTCTTGAGGATTAACTGTTATTTCTGACAAAGTTTTTCTCTTGTGTAAAATAAAAAACTTAATTTCTACCTAAAAAAGAATAAAGAAAAATACACTTCTGCGCGCCGTATTGTATACTTAATTAAACAAGCGGAATAATTCGGAATTACCTCGAAGCACTTCTTCCACCGTACTTTCATATCAAGAAGAAGCATTTTCATTGGCGTGTCACGCGTTATTCTCACGTATACGTTTCGAAAGTATAAAGCAGTAATAAAAACTGTTTACTCAAGATTAAAATACAGCGCAAGAAAATTACAATATTCCAAGGTAATTTCATTATATTCCTCTTGATATACGAGTTGTGCGTGTGAAAAAAGTGTGAGAAAAAATTAATATACAATTTATATATTACGATCTCTTTTTCTCAGCTTGTAGAAAGTGTCTAGTCACACGTTGTCGGACTTTTTATATTATTTATAATAATATAAAAAATGGAAAAGGATATATATTGAAAAAGAACTGTGGGACACGAAAATGTTCGAAAGTTCTAAAATAGAATCTCTCGTAGCAACATAGTTATGGACAAAGTATTACGTTTGCAGACGTAACATAGTTAAAGCGTAGAATATTTGCAAGTCTATTCGATTCTCGAGAATATCTTTGTACTCGATTCTTTAAGACTTTTTATACAGATGATGGATAAAAGAGTAAAATATCCAGAAACTGGTGTAAGTTTGCGTTCGACATCGCATGCAGGTCACTGACATTGCGCTATCATTGAGTACAGTATACAATATTGATAAGACTCAAAGTACAATGCTCATTATAGATATTTGGATTTCGTGCAAAAAAAGTTGAAGTTCTTTTTCGATCGAGAGTTTAAAGCGAGAGTGAAACATCAGAGAAAAACTAAAAATTCGATCTAAACGCCAGAGCGAGAGTGAACAGGCTGAAATCTGGTCGCTTGGTGCCATAAAACAATTCTGTAAGGTCAGGATTAGACTTTCTTTTTGACACTGTTGTGCGATGTTGGGGATGTTGCCGTTGAAGCTGAGCGAAGGAAACTCAAATGTTCTCGAGTGGGTCCTACTGCATTTCTTCAACGTGCAGAAGAAAAGAACTTTAATTTATTTCAACAGTATATACACGGATCTACCGAGAAAATTGTCAGAATAATCCTAATTATGTCATCGAAACTCCATAGCAAAAATGCAAACATTGAGCGACTGAAAGGAGGTACAGGTAAAAGAAGATAATAACGTAACCTTCTCTGTTTTCAACTCACGTCACTAATAACCAACCGTCTAGACACCAGACACTTCTTTTGTTCGTCCCGTCCGGCTGACTTTTGAGGGTTTGTCGTCGCGAAGGGTTGAAACATGCAAACGATCGCGAGTTATAAATGCTGCGCGCAGGTGCACGGGAAAATAATCTCTGTTATGGTTCGCTGTTTTCCTCAGCAAAAACGATACGTTTGACACGATTATTGGTAATCAGCAACGACAAAACTTGCTTGTCTGCTTTGC